CAGGGCTGAGCCCTGCGCTGGAGGGGGGGCAGAAGGGGGAGGGGAGCAGGGCTGGGCCCTGTGCATCGTGGGGGGATGGGCACAGCGGGGGAGGGCTGGGGGGGAGCAAGGCTGAGCCCCGCGTTGGGGGGGGCAGAAGGGGGAGGGGAGCAGGGCTGGGCCATGCACAGCAGTGGGGATGGGCCCAGTGGGGGTCGGGGGTGGGCCCAGCACAGCGTGGGGGGAAATGGGCCCTGCAGGGGGGCCCAGCGGGTGGGGAGAGGGGGCGGGCGCTGACCCCCCCTCCCCGCAGGTTCCGCTACTCGGAGGACGAGGTGGCCGGCTACGTGCTGCAGCTGCTGCAGGGGCTGGAGTACCTGCACGGGCGCCGCATCGTGCACCTGGACATCAAACCCGACAACGTGGTCGTCGCCCACGGCAACGCGGTGAAGATCATCGACTTCGGCAGCGCCCAGACCTACAACCCGCTGGTGCTGCGCAGGCTGGGGCGCCGCGTGGGCACGCTGGAGTACATGTGTGAGTGCTAGTGCAGGGGGTGAGTGACCCCCGCCTGCCGCTGCGCCCCCCATCGCCCGGCCGGAGGCTGACCCGCTCCCCTTTCTCTGCCCCGCAGCTCCGGAGATGGTGAAGGGAGACCCGGTGGGCTCTGCGGCCGATATCTGGGGGGTCGGCGTGCTCACCTACATCATGTGAGTCCCCTCGGGCGCGGGGGGGCCGGGGGCTGAGTGTGGATGTACAAGCTGAGGGCGCCCATGGAGCTGGGGTGCGGGGTTAATGCCCAGGGCAGGGCACAGCCTGGTCCCCGTCTAACGCAGGGCACAATCGTTAGCAGCTCCTGTTCAGGAGAGTGAGGCTGTGGGTCAGGAGTGAGGGGCACCGGCAGAGCGGGGGGAGGCCCCAGGGCTGGGCTAGCAGGGGGCTGCGGGTCAGGAGTGAGGGACACCGGCAGAGCCTGGGGGTGGTGTCCCTGGGGGATCCAGCACCTTCACACCCTGCATTTAAAGTCTGAGGCATCTCCGGGATTGGGGCTGTTTCTGACCTGGCCCTGGGTTCGAGGGACGCCAGCATTAATCCCCCAGTGGGTCGAAGCAGAGCCCTGGGCTGGCAGCAGCGCCGGTGCTGGGCTGTGTCTGTGGCAGCCAGCCGGGGCCGCAGCCCCGTGGTGCAGGGACCAAGGTGGGCTGGGGCCACGCTGGCCCTGGGCAGTGCCCGGGGGGCTCCTCACCCACTCCGCTGCCGGTCCCCAGGCTCAGCGGCCGGTCGCCGTTCTTCGAGCTGGATCCCATCGAGACTGAGAACAGGATCCTGGCCGGGCGCTTCGATGCCTTCAAGCTGTACCCCAACGCCTCGCAGAGCGCCGCCCTCTTCATCCGCAAGCTGCTCTGCATCTACCCCTGGTGAGCGCCCGGCCGGGGTACTGCAGCCCGCCCGGCCCAGCCCCACCCGCCAGGCCCTGGCCCAGCCCCACATGCCAAGCCCCGGCCTGCCTCTCCGCACGCACCGGGCGCTGGCACAGGGCGATGTGCAGGCAGGGGGTCCTGAGGTTACTGAGAGGGGCTAGGAGCCAGGACGCCTGGGTTCTGTCCTAGCTCGGGGAGGGGAGTGGGGTCTAGAGCAGGGGTTCGTTCTCAAACTGGGGGTCAGGACCCCACAGGGGACCGTGAAGTTATTACCTGGGGGGTTGCGAGCTGTCAGCCTCCACCCCAAACCCCGCTTCCCCTCCAGCATTTATAATGGTGTTAAATATACAAAGACGTGTTTTGAATGGATAAGGGGGGTCGCACTCAGAGGCTTGCTCTGTGAAAGGGTCACCGGGACAAACGGTTGAGAACCACGGGGCTAGTGGGTTTGCAGGGGAAGTGGGAGTCAGGACTCCTGGGTTCTAGTCCTGGCTGGGGCTTGGGGCCTGTCCTTTCCCTCGCCTGGGCCGGGGGGATGAGCAGCCAGTCCCTGTTCCTGCCTGGGCTCCCCAGCGGCAGACGTGGCAAGTCCCTCACCCCCGGGCTCTCCCTGGCTGTTGCAGGAGCCGGCCCACCATCAAGGACTGTTTTGCCAACCCCTGGCTGCAGGACGCCTACCTGATGAAGCTGCGGCGCCAGACCCTGACCTTCACCACCAACCGGCTCAAGGAGTTCCTGGTGGAGCACCAGCGCCGGCGCAGCGAGGCCGTCACCAAGCACAAGGTCTTACTCCGCTCCTACCACGGCTCCGGCAGCCAGCCGCCCCCCGCGCCGGTCACGCAGTAGCCCCGCTCCCTCCTGCGGCGACGGAGGAGTCGAAGGAACATTCCAGGGGCCGGGCCCGCGGCGGCAGGTTCCCGGAGGCGGGGAACGGGGGTCGAGCGAACCGCCGGGACATGCGTTGGCGTCCGCCCCGCGAGCCTGGCCGCTCGGGACCGCAGAGGAGCGTTCACCCGGGCACCACGGGCCCCTCCGCCCAGCAGAGTTGGCACCGCCGGGGGCTCACTGCTCCCACTCCTCCTGCGGGGGGCCTGCTGCAAGGGGCGGGACTTCCTGTTTTGCTGTGCCTGAGGACAGGAAATGCTACGCAAACAGCTGGACTTCCAAGACTAGGGGCTGGCGGGCTGCGGGGGGAGGGGAGTGTCTGGGGGGTAGGGGAGGCGGGAGCCCAGCAGCAACCTCTGCGGCGCGTGAAACTGTGAAGTGGGGAGATGGAGGGACGGAGGGCAGGAAACAGGAGCCGTGACGATGGGAAGCCACCAGCATCGCCTGCCCTTTGAGATGTTTCCCCCGAGTTTGGGGGAGCCCAGCCCGGCCCGCGGGGTTCCACTGCCAGCAACCGGCTCGGCATGCCTTCTCCCTCCAGCGCCACGCTGCCCACGTGCCCTGTAACCGGAGCTGGGAGGAGCAGAGCCGCGTCCTCGGGGGTCCTGGCAACAGCTCCCCTGGCAGCGCCCGGCCATGCCGGACGTGGGTAAAACCCCCGGCGTTAATGTCACCATGGTGCTCACGGCCTCCTGCACCTCTCGGGGGTGCTGTCGCCCCGGTTTGGCTGCCAGCCCCGGCCCCACTCGCCGTCCTCGCCCCCCGCTGGGCTCCCTCCCTGCCCCACACGCCCCCAGGCTGCCAGGCCATTTGCTGAATATGGCTGAGCTGGTTGTGCGACCCCCAGCCTCCAGTGCCCCCTGCCCCCCCCCCGCAGCTGGGCCCCAGAGAGTGGCCACAACCCACCTGCATGGGGCGGGGGGAGGCCTCACTGCAGGGAGGGGGGGTGGCCATTTTGACTGAGGGCAGCCCATGGCTTCAGTTCCATAGGAAGTCAGGGAAGCTGGTGGCCATTATGGATGAGGGCAAACTGAGCAGTCCCCCCCCCCCTTCCCGCCCACCTGGGGAGCTGCTAGGAGTCACTTGCTGTCTGCGGCCACAGTCTGACATGCAGAGCCCATGTGCCCCTATGCACACACAGCGACATGCCTGTACTTACACACACGCCTGTACACATGCACAGCTACACGCCTGTACGTACACACACACAGTGACACGCCTGTACACACGCACAGCGACACACTTGTACACATGTACAGTGACTCCCCTATGCACACACAGCTACATGCCTGTATGCCCCACAAACACACAGTGACATGCCTCTACATACACACACATGCTTGTACACACGTAGAATGACTCCCCTATGCATGCACAATGACGCCTGTACACACATAGTGACACCTGTACACACACAGCAACACGCATCTACGTACACACATACGCCTGTACACATGTACACACACACCTGTACATACGTGTACACACACGCCTGTACACATGCACAGTGACACGCCTGTACACACATACATACACACACCTGTACACATGCACAGCAACATGCCTGTTCACATGTACAGTGACTCCCCTATGAATGCACAGCAACGCCTGTACACATGTACACACACAGTGACAGACCTCTACGTCACACACATGCCTGTACACACGCACAGCGACACGCCTGTACATCCCACGCACACACAGTGATGCCTGTACTCACGTACACACACACAGCGACATACCTGTACACACACACAGCAATGCTCTATGCATGCACAGTGACACACCTATACACACACAACACTCCCATACACTCCCATGCACGCGCACACCCACATGGAGCGTGGCGGCACAGACCGACACTCCCCCATACACCTCCCTGTGACGCCCAGCGCCAGGCAGTTCCCAGGTCTCTGCGCCAGCCATCCCCTCGCTCTGCGCGGGGCCCATGTCCCACTCCTCCGCCCCGGGGGTTCGGCTGGACCCTGGCACTGCGGCCCCCAGAGATACCACATGGGGTGGCAGCATCTCAACCCAAGCCCTGCTCGGAGCCACCCAGCGCTCCCACCCCCTCCCCGCTGCCCTGCCCCTCCGCCCCTCCCAGGCTTGGGGCCTTGCCCCAGGGGTATGGGGGTGGGGGGGGCAGCTGCTGCAGATGAACTGGCCGAGGCCTCAGCTGCCCTGGGCTTTCGCTGGCCCTGAGGTGCCCTGCAGGGGTCGAGCCGTGTGAACCGGGGGGGGGGGGGGCCCTTTGGCTTCTCCCCTGCCCCCTCCATGGGCCTGTCCTCTCCCCCCTGCCGGGCAGGCTCCACTGCCTCCAGCCCAGCCCAGGTGTCCCAGGTGCATCTGCCCCCGGGGGCACTGCTGGCTGGGGGGCAGGAACGGCCTGGCTGCCCTTGCGCCTTGGCTGGACAGTGAGACTGGCCTTGAGCCGGCCAGGGCTATGCCCAGTGCCCGGGGCTGGGGGCCGGGGAAGGGAGCCCCACCCCGGCAGCTGCACAGATGCTGCTGTAGCGACAGGGCGTATTTATTGTCTTGCTGACAAGGTTTCTTCCTTCCTTGTGTCTCTGCTTCCCCCCCCCCCCCGTTTGTCCCTCCCCCATCCGTTGTCCCCCTGCCCCTCCTGCTGCGCTCTGAGTTTCGGGCTGGACTTGCTCGGGTGTGGACGAGCCATGTGCCTGAGAAGCAATAAAGGCCCTGAGCAGCCCGGCCTGGCTCCGTGTGGTTATTGGGAGGGCCTGGCAGACCCCCGCCGCCCCCCCCCCCCCCCGCTCACAGTCAGTGTGGGCAGAGACCCAGCCGGGCGCTCCAGGCGGGCTTCAAAGGTGACGCGCCTAACGCCGAGGCTACAAACTGTGACTGAAAAGGAGTTGTCCTTCCCGAAGCGTTCGTAGCCGGCCAAGGAGCCGGGATCCCGCAGCAGAGACGGCGCGTGACCCTGCCGAGCAGCCGGCCGGGAGACGGGAAGGCAGCAGTTGGAAACAAAGGAGCAACTTGGGACAAAGGGGGACGCGACCCCAAACGAGCCGTTCTGAGGTGCGGAGCAGCAGGGAGGGAACCAAATGAGTCCTGGAAAAGCGATCGGCCCATTAGTCGATGGTGAGACCAGGCCCGGTGGTGCGGAGAACGCGGAAATGTTGCTGGTCTGCGTTTGGAAAGCAGGACAAGGCGCTCGTATTGCGCGGCTGGTGAAGCATTTTCAGCCAAGAGCTCGAAAGGAGCTGGCTGAGGGATCTCTGCCGCCTGCAGACGTTAGTGTTAATCACGGGGACCAGCGAGGCAGGTGCCGACGGCTGGCAGGGTGCGACGGGCGTGCCAGTGCTCCAGGCGGGATGAGCCGGCTAACGACAGGCCCATTAGCCTGACCTCACTGCCGGGCACCACAGCGGAGAAGCCGATGCAGGATTCAGGCTGTGGAGGGAATTAATGGCAGCGGACAAGGCTTTGTGGAAAACAGGGCCTGGCAGACCAAGGCGGTGGCACTCGGTGGCTGGTAAAGGGGAGGGCGTCGATGTGAGGGAAACAGTCGCCCTCCCCAGTGTCCCTGGAGCGGATGCTCAGGGGGTTCAGACCTGGCTGATCTGGGATCTCAGCACGTAGTTCTCAGTGGGGGATCGTCGTGGTGACCAGGCTGGGGGAGGCCAGCGCTTTTATTGCACCGACTTCGGCTGGTGGCAGAGACGAGTTTGGAGCCCCCCCCCCCCCCCCCCCCCCCCCCTCCTGCGGGGCTGTGTAGCAGACGTAGTTAACGGGTTTCCTATGGCCCGTCCGAGGGGAAGGGCCTTTCGCACTCCAGACAGCGGGAAGAAAGGAGGGGAGCGGCTGGAGGGGGGCGTTGGGGGTTACAGAGTGTTGCACAGGCACCTGCTTCCACGTTTTCCCGGGGGGGGGGGCTCAGCCCCAGGCCCCGCCCCCACTCCACCCCTGCCCTCCCCTGCCCCTCTTCTTCCTGCCCAGTTCTGCCCCCTCCCCCGAGCACGCCCCTCCCACACGCCAGGGAACAGCTGAGCCGTGGTGGGTGGGAGGGGGCTGGGGGGCAGAAGCGCTGGGGGGAGGGGGAGCTTGGCTGCTGGTGGGTGCTAACCCTGTGGATTGTTGCAATGAGCCATAAATCCAGGGTCCCTGCTATGAATTGACGCTCCCGGGCTGGTCTTTTGCAGGTGTGGGGCAGGTTTCCGCTGAGGCTGAGGAGGGAGAGGTCAGACATGGGGCGATCGCGTTGTGAGAAGTGCTCACCCCCAGGGCCAGGGGTCATTTGCTGCTGCGTTCCTTGGCGAGCCCAGTGATTGGCTGGTTTCACCCACGTGGCTGTTACTGGGGCATTGAGAGCGCTGGGTGGGGGGCACCTCGGGTTGTGATAGGCACGTGTAGGACCCGGGATCTTGGAAGGTGGGTCGGGGGGAGGGGGGTGCTGCCCGTCGTAGCAGCGGAGCTATGGCGGCAGGTTTTGCAACCGTTGCTCTGGCAGGGTCTGGCACGGCTCTGAGTGGTGGGTGTGCCCTGGTCTGCGGGTGCCTGCTGCTGATGCTGAGCGTGGAGAGGCTGGGGGTCGTCTGAAGGCCGGAGCGGGGCTCAGGAAAGATTTCTTTCAGGATGGGGCCCCCATCGAGTGTGGGCTATACACGCTAGAGCCAATTCTTATTAACTAAACTAAAATTTATTAGAAAAGAAAAGAGAGAGAGTGTTGGTTAAAAGATCAATATACAGACAGACTTGAATTCAATTCTTGAGGTTCAGATGCATAGCAGAGATGAGCTTCTAGTTGCCAAAAGTCCTTTTAGAAATAGTCCATAGGTTATAGTCCAATGTCCATATTCAGGGTGGCTCCAGTCAGTGACTGGGGATCTCAATCCTTGTGGCTTAAGGTTTCCCCCTCGTGAAACCCAAAGCAGATCTGAGATGAAGTAGGATCATGTCCCAGGGTTCTTATACATTTCCAGCAGCCTTTCGGCCTGAGAAAACAATAGGCTTAATTCTCCTTCTCCCAAACATCCTGGCAATTAGCACAGGGTAATTTATCCATTAAACAGTTCAGATCCAGGTTCCCACAACCTTCAAAGAGACATAGAGACAATAATCCTATTTCACTCAAGTGTCTTCCTAAATACTGATATTCCTTTTTTTGATCTTTGAATCCAAGCTCTAGCAATAGACAGACTTGTTTGCTTACATCACAAGACCTGAGCAAACACCAACTCTTCTACCTCTAACAATGCCGGCTGCATTTCAAAGCTCTGTTCATTTACAGATCTTCCTAATCAGTCTCTAAAGTTCGGCCATGGGTCAGGTCAGTTAATTAACTCTTTCTGGCCCTGTCACCTTTCAATGAGATATTATATCACACTCATAACGTCACACCCAGTCTGGCCAGTCTTGTGTTTTTATGTTCCACTGGAGGCAGGACAAGCAGTATTGGGCTTAATCTGCAACCAGGGAGATTGAGGTTCGCTATCGGGAAAAGCTTTCTAACTCCCAGGGTAGCTAATCTCTGGAACAGGCGTCCAAGGGAGGCTGTGGGATCCCCAGCACTGGAGGGTTTGAAGAACAAGCTGGACAAACCCCTGTCCGGCTGGATTATGGTTACTTGGCCCTGCCTCAGCGCCGGGGGCTGGACGTGATGATCTCTCGAGGGCCCCCCCAGCCCCTCATTGCCAGGAAGCTGTGATTCTGGACCTTCGTGGTCAGAAAACACCCGGCGCTAAGGGGCCCTTTAACCCAGTGGAGCCGGGCAGGAAGAGCCAGTGGCTGGATGCTGCAGCCCGACAGGCCCCGATGTCTGATGCCGCGAAGTGAGATCCTGTGCTCGATGCGGGGCCTGCTCGCGTTGAGAGCTCCCAACGCGGCCGCCGCTCGGGGCCAGCACAGGGACGGACAGCCCCCTGCTGAGCTTTGGGGCGGCGGGGACAGAGGGTGGAACAAGGGACACGAAGCGGCTGGTGAGCAGGGGCCCAGCTGAGCCACCTCGGCCATTGTCTGGAGACCAAAGAACCGGCTGATGGAAACCACTGACCCCTTCCAGCTGAACAGCACCCAGCACCGCTCTGCCCAGCCGCCCCGGGGGGTGTAACATGCTGGCACCCTGAGCAGCTTGTCTCCCAGGCAGAAACTCACACAGATAAGAATGGGGGTGGGGAGGAGGGAATAGGGGGATTGGAGAATGTGGGAAATTTCTGCAATATTTTTATGAAAAAGGTGACTCAGTTTCCCCACTCACTCTGCACTGTGGGTGTGAAGGGGTTAATTTCTCCTCCGGGACAGGGCACTGGGTGGAGTCCCGTAGGCAGCCGGCAATGAACTATCGAGAACAGTCCCCATGTGGCTGGAGCTGCGTGGGAGAGACCGTGGGGATCCAGGTCCAGGCATTCGCTGTTCACGCCCGCAGGACTCAGGGCTAAGAACTCGGCTGGATCCTGGGGGCTTTGGGCCAGAGGGGCAGCGGATGCTGCTGGCCGGAGGCTCACCG